ATTCAGCCAGTGTAGCCTGGCTCCTGTGGGAGAGCCCTGGCATGCAGACCCAGCAGCAGCAACCCAGCCCTGGATCCTGGCTGGCAGCACTCTCCCAGCACGAGCATTTCCCAAGCAGAGGAGCCTGCCCTTGCTGAAGCAAACCTCACTGGAAAATGGCAGCTAAACCCTAAAGCAAAGAAAGCATTTTTGAGCTGAAGCCTCCAATTTCACCTGACAGACTATTACTCTATTTACTCTGAACTGCCCTCAGAAAACTTCAAGGATTCCCTCATTCTCAAAAGCATAAACAAGTTTCAGTTTCTCTTTTATTTAAAAAATCTCATCTTTTCACTCAGCCAGCATCTGACTTGTGCTGTTAGATTCTGCGTAAGCTTTCACCACTGGGAAAATATTTTTTTAGAGGATCAGCTGTCCCCACTCCTTTCTTTTTTTCTTTTTTTTTTTTTCTCCTCTCTCAAAGAATATTGACTAGCCTTTAAGAGAAAAAAGGTTTCTTGATGGCCAGTTCCACTGAAATTAGCTTTTGAAATTTGAGCACATTTTAATATAGCATTATTTCCATAAAGTAAAATGTAGAAGGAATAACACTACCTCTCTGTGAAACACATAGAATCTTCAACAAATAATACTAGTTCCCCCACCACCCACACCTAGGCTCAACATCATATTTTCACTGAAAGTTCCTAAAATACATCTTTAAAGATAGCAGAGGTACATATTCATTATTTGCCTACTATTTTTTTCCACATACAAATTGAGTACAGATTACATCCCTGCCAATTTTGTTTCCAATAGCCTAGGAAAAATAAAACTATAACAAATTGCTTTTATTACTTCCTTAAACAAGAATTGAAACTTGTCCAAAAAAACACATGAAAGACTAACTTTGATGACTTGAGCTTTTGCCAGACACAGCGGTGATACAATAAAGCAAAAACTTAAATGCGTATTAAAAGAGGAATAAGCAACTGGGCATTAAAAGAATGCTTGATTTTAATAGCACAAAGTGGGTTAATTGGTTCATTGATGGCTTGCACTAAATATAAAGCAGATTTTCAATGAAAATATTACATGACTAATATCATGTTGTCTCTATTACTAAGTTTCTCCAGCACCAAGAAGCCCTACTGATTTTGGAAGCATCTTGGTGTGCTGTGATGGTTCGTCAGGCCTGATTAGCAGCACAGTAATTAAGCATGGCCTTGAAGAAAGAGCTTCATTTACTTGGCACAGGAATTATGAGTACACCAGGGAACTGCTTTTTGTGTTTGTCTAGTTTCCTCTCCTTAGGATGTAACACTGCTATCCCTGAAACCACCAGGAGCTCCACAACGGGTTTAAGAGGAACCAAGACCAGATCTCACGGGTCACCTTGCTTTTGGCTGGGGAGAATGATACTGGTAACAAATTGAACCTTCTAAGTGACACCTGTGGCTGTAAAAAGCATTGTCTTTATCAAACCAAGGGCTGGCTCAGCACAGGGGGGCACTTGTGGGGTAGGAGAGTGCAGGCCCAGTAGTGCAGGTGTGGCCAAGATGCTCTGCGCTCTGGCCGGTGTGGGGAGCAGGGACCAGCCACCAGCCCTGGGCTGCTGCTTCCTGCTGTGGGCTTCTCCGGCCAGCTGACTGAACCTGGAGGCCAGCTTCAGCACTGGGGTATCAGCTCAGCAGCTCCACTCTCACTGCCTCTTGCACCTGGGGCACCGCGGGGAGCGCTTGGCCTTGCATCCTGGGAGGGCAGGCACGGGCTTATTTAACGCAGATAAAACACAGCTTGCTCCTCCACTGCCACCCGCCTCTTCTCTGGTTACAAGGAGAAAAATAGAAATGTTGTTTCAAAGTAAAACCCCATGTACTGACTCTCCATAAACACGTTTAGCCAAATGATACATTTTACTTAAGTACAGATGAGAAGAAAGGCTAATGCCAGGGAGAGATCTACCGATGTATCTAAACCTCCCTTTTTGAAAGCCATGCATGAATCTCTTTTAAATGTATGACAATTCATCCTCTGTTTACTTTAGGCAAACAGAAAAACTCATGGTGGAGCACTCATTTTCGCAAGCTAATCAAGAACATTAGGTCCCAACAGATTCATTTAATAGAAATATAATAGGCATTCCTGCTTGCTTTTAATCTCGTCTAGCTGCAAATGCTAAAATGAACAGCGAATTAACCCTGCCTTGGAACAGAGATTCTTTCACAGCTGATATCATCTCTCTTATGGCTTGTAAACACTCCAGGCTCCCTCAATGTGCTTTCCTGGCTTTCACGCTTTCCCCACAGCAGAGGAGAGGAATGGAGAGGAGTGGAGAGGAAAGGATGCATTGGATTGCATGCAGCTATGAAGGGGAGGAATAGGCGAGCTCTGAAAGGATGACTGCCTGTTAGCAGAACAAAATGCAGCACCACCACCCAAAAACAAGGCAGCACTAAAAGGTGGATGGGAGAGTGAGTTTTGGGGTGCTTTGGGGAAAGGGGGGGGGGG